GTCGCTGGACTCCCACGTAGTCGACCGCGGTTCGCGTCCTGGACCCGGTGGCTTAAAACTCACGCCAGGTGCGTGTGTGTGCGTGCCCAAGATCCCGAGAGGAGAATGGAGGAGGAGGGATTGCGGCGTGACCATCCCCCCTGGGGGGTGATTTCTTGCTTTCTGTCTCTATGTCTCTCTCTGTCTGTCTGGTGAGCGCACGCGCCCTATAGCAAAAATCTCTCCAAAAATAAAAAAATTTTTACTTACCCCTTATACACACCCTCTGCTTCCTTCTCTATTTTTTGTCTTCTTACATGAATAAGTCCTAGTTATTTCTACCTTAGTTCCTGCAGTTCTTCTCATCAGAATGTCCTGTTTTCCATCTGGCCTAAGCATACCCCTACCGTTCTTGACGAACTAGCGTTCTTCCTCCGTCTGGTCTTAATCGAGCTGCTCCCTGCCTCCCTTCCGATGCCCTAGGATCTGCTGCAGGCTCTTCGACACCAAAGTGTGTTCTCTTCTCTCGCAGCTGCTCTTACTCTGTGCAGATGCTGAGTCTGCATTTCATGCCGCTGTGCCCTTCCTGCAGTGAGGGTCTGGTCCTGTCTTAGTGAGTCCTGTTTCTTTCTTTCTTTTTTTTTTTTTGAGAGGCTTTTGCTATAGGGTGCGTGCGCTCGCCAGACAGACAGAGAGAGACATAGAGACAGAAAGCGAGAAATCCCCCCCTATGGGGGATGGTCACGCCACAGTCCCTTCTCCATTCTCCTCTCAGGATCTTGGGCACACATGCACACACGCCCAGCGTGAGTTTTAAGCCACTGGGTCCGAGATGCGAACCACCGTCGAGTACGTGGGAGTCCAGTGACATAGCCATTACGCTAACTGCTGGTTCCCCAGTGAGTCCTGCTTCTGATATTCCATTGTATCCCTGTCTTGTAAATAGAATCCAAAGTGGAAATGAATGATTGTGTTAGTGTTCATCAAGTCAGAAACATCCTGAAATACTGTGAAGCCATACAAGCCGCCCCCACCTCAGCATCTTCAGCTCATTACGCTCTTAGAGGTGGACAGAAAATGCAGCGTGTGTCTGGGTCAGGAGCTCAGTTACCAAAGAGAAAGACTCGGTTACCCAAGCGCCATTGTGACCTCCTTAGCAAACTGGAGCTTCAGTTTCCTCTTTGGTCATGTTAAAGAGGGATGTGCAGTGTGAGAACAGTTTAGTTCTGTGACATTAAACCAGTGTTACCCTTTCCTGATCTAAAGTTAACATAATTGGGCAAAACTGTACTCCATATCTCTTGAAGAACCTAAAACCAGGTCCCGCCCCCAGAGAATAGGTGGGTTGGGACTTTCATATCTAACTGACCTGACAGATTTCATGGTGGGTGGTCCCAAAGAACATCAGGGTCCATTTTCTCCAAGATTCTTTTTACCCTTAAAATTCTTTTGAAGATTTGATTTTTAACTACTTTAGAATTTCACGTAATATTTTCACATGATATATTTTTATACCTGCTAATTCTCATCATATTTAGAAGTAGTCACTTTTCCTAGGATTTTTTTTTTAAATCCTTGCAGAGATTTCATTTATTTATTTATTTATTTTAGAACAAAAAAAATACTGGGCCTGGCAGTTGGCATGGTGATTGTGGCACTGGACTCCCACATGGCTAACTGCAGTTCAAGTCCTGGACTTGGTGGTGACTTGCTTTCACAGTTTCCCTCCCTCTCTCTGTCTCTCTTTGGTCCAATTAATAATAATAATAATGATGATGAATAAAATAAAAATAATTAGTTTTTTTTTAAAGTAAATACCAACATTAGATTATTTTTCCTTTTTTTCATTTTTTTAAAGCATGAAAGATAGCCTATTATGTACTTTGTTTCTTCAGAATTAAGCCCCTTTATAGTAGAGCTTGGAGATTTGTATCAATACATGGAGAGCATCCTCATTTTTTTTTTCTTTCTTTTTGGAGATGTTTTTGCTGTAGGGCATGTGCGCTCGCCAGAAAGACAGAGAGAGATAGAAAGTGAGAAATCAACCCCCTAGGGGGGATGGCCATGCCACAATCCCTTCTCCATTCTCCTCTTGAGATCTTGGGCACGCATGCATACGTGCCCAGCATGATTTTAAGCCTCCGGGTCCCAGTCTTAAACCCTGACTATATGGGAGTCCAGCGACATAGCCATTATACTAACTGCTGGTCCCACATCCTCATTTTTAAAAGCCACTTAGTATTCCAATTTAGGATGTGCCGTAACTTACTAACCCATTTTTTTTTATACTTGTTTGTGTTGTGTCCAGTCGTTTGCTTTACCAACACTATTGCATTGAATAACTTTGGACATAAGTCATTTCAGATATTTACAAGTTTGAGCATGTCTTATAAGACAAAATATATTGAATTGTAAAAGTACACTTACTGGATCAAAGAATATAGACATTTACTGTTTGAATAGTTATTGCCAACCTGTTTTCTGTAGCACTTTTATAACAAGTTGTATACGCTCTCAGGGCAAATCTGTTGAGTGCATTTTGCTTCTTTTTGACCTTTGTGAGATGAGTCGGTACTAGGTAGACACAGATAGGTGACATGTCAGTTAGTGAACTAACCACCCAGCACCCTGCCTTTGCAGCCTCACAGCCCAAGGAGCGCCCTCGATCTGCAGTCCTCCTGGCTGATGAAACCATTGCCACCCCGATGTTTGCTAATAGACGGTCTCAGCAGAGTGTCTCGCTGTCCAAAAGTGTCTCCATACAGAACATTACTGGGTAAGTGGAGAGTTTAAGGTCTTGTTGATAAGAGCGTAATAAGACATCAGGGTGGGAAGAGTGTAATATTCACATCATTTTGACAAAAAGATTCTAATTTTGTAAATAAATGTGTAAGCTTATGTATGGGTTAAGACGTGCTGGGGGGAACAGGGATGGGATTTCTTTTTCTTTCTTTTCTTTTTTTCCTTTTTAGGTTTTTGCCATAGGGTGCATGCATTCATCAGAAACAGTAAGAAGGAGAGTAAGAAGTCACCCCCTGGGGGGATGGCCACACACCAGTCCCTTCTCCTCAGATTTGGGGCACGCATACATACGCACTCGATGTGCTTTTCAAGTCATCACGTCTAGGACTCGAACCGTGGTGGGCCATGTGGAAGTCCAGCGCTTTATCACCATGCCACCTGCCAGCCCCAGGGATTGGGTTTCGGATGCACTGCCCTGACTGGCGCTTTCTAACAAGGACCTAGTTTAAACACTACTGTCAATCCAGGTCGCTCCTGCACTTTCACAGATGAATTATCTTGCGTTTGTTTGTTTAAACTTTTGCTATAGGGTGTGTGTGGTTGAGAAAGAGAAAGAAATCACCCCCAGCCATGCCGCAGTCCACACTCTTGTTAGGATTTTGGGCACACACGTACAAGCAGCCGGAGTGTTTTCTGAGGTGGACTCGAACTGTGCCGTCAGCCATGTGGGATCCAGGTGCCTTAACCACCGCACCACCTGGCCGACCCAGAACCTTTACTTCTGAATGACCTGAGTAGTAAAAGAGATTTAGCTCAGTATAATAAATAGGAATAAAGAGAGATGATGTAATTCTGAATTTGCAACCACTTACATTTTCAGATGTCATAACCTCTCTGCTGTTCATATGAACCTGGTCATCTTGTTTCTTTCTAGGTCTCTTTCTCACCCTTACCTCTTAATTCTGAAATCAGTTTCATGGAGGTGAATTACGAGCCAGTTCTTACTGTTAGGTGCCCACTCGGTGCCACTCAGTTCCTGTGGTGGTCCCCTATGACAGTTGCTGTGGCCACCAACTGGTCAGGCTTGGGTGTCGGGTGGTTAGCTCAGGGTTGATTGTGATGTTGTTGGCCCTTAGGGGTAAGATGCCTGCCTTCCCACCCCGTAAATAAGCCACCTCAAATGTAGCACTCAAAACATCTCCTGCATGCCTTTAACTTAGATTGGAGGGAAACTCTTAACAAAAGATGGCAAAACCTCTTATTGTTAGTGTTTTCTAATCTCTGTGCTGGCTAGTGCTTCTTCCTCCTCAAAAAAAAAAAAAAGCAAAACCAAAAAGTTCCAGGTATCTTTGTTTTCTTTTTCTTTTTTGTATTCTCAGTTATCTCCCCAAGCCTTTTCAAAGTTGTACTATTATCAAAGTTTGTATGGTGTGACTTCGCAAAGTGATCTTTCGGGCCAGTAGATGGTGTATAGTAGTTACGTTGCTGGACTCCCATGTGGCGGACCGCGGTTTGAGTCCCTGACCCGGTGGCTTCACAATCACTCTGGGGACATGTGCATGCATGCCCAAGATCCCTGGAAGAGAAGGGATTATGGCATGGCCCATCCCGCCAGGGAATGATTTCTTACTTTACCTCTGTCTGTCTGTCTCCCCCCTACTCCGAGAAGCACACGTGCCCTATGGCAAAAACCTCCTTAAAAAAAAAAAAATGAAAAGAAAAGGGAGGTGCTCTTTAAATAATGTTCAGAGTTTTAAATGACCCCTACTTTCTAGTCTGTCATTGGGTGTTTACTGTACTAGCTGGTAGGTCAGGATTGAGAAGTCCAAAGGGTATAGTTTACTCCAAGTGCTCAGTCTGTAGTTATTTAGGGAACAGTTTTTAAAATAGCATTAATTGCTAGCAAAAACAATTTTCTAAAGAATTACTTTAATTTTATTATTTATTTATTTTTAAATTTTGCTATAAGGTGAGAGAGAGAGAAAGAGAAAGAGAAAGAAAGCTGCCAGATCTGAGACTCAAAACACGGTCAGCCATGTCGAAGTATAGTACCTTAACCACCATGCCACCTGCTGACCCCCAAGACAATAACAATTTAAAAAGGGAAATTTTTTTATATAATGTGTCCATGATTTGAGGGATAAAAATTCTCTTTGCTGCTTATCATTAAGAAAAAACACCGAGGCTCGGGACCAGCAGTTAGCGTAATGGCTATGTCATTGGACTCCCACGTAGTCGACCGCAGTTCCAGTCCCGGACACGGTGGCTTAAACTCACGCCGGGTGTGTGTGCACACGTGCCCAAGATCCCAAGAGGAGAATGGAGGAGAAGGGATTACGGCAAGGCCATCCCTCCTGGGGGGTGATTTCTCGCTTTCTGTCTCTCTGTCTCTGTCTGGTGAGCGATGAGCCCTATAGCAAAAACCTCTCAAAAAAAAGAAAAAAAAAAAAGAACGAAAAAACACCGAGGCTCAAAAAGGGTGCATTTGCATTGCTATTAAATGCTTCCCAACTTCGATCATAGCTCTGCACGTTTCTGCGTAGTGTACCTGACAAATAATTGGGCTTCAGTTGTCACAGTACTCAGAACCCGCTGTCATGAGCATTGGTCAGGTATTTGTGTAAGAACGCAAAGTACAGCTTATCAGGATATATTTGACCACAAGGACTTCTTTGTGTTCCCAGGGTTGGCAATGATGAGAACATGTCAAACACGTGGAAATTCCTGTCTCATTCAACAGACTCACTGAATAAAATCAGCAAGGTTAATGAATCAACGGAATCACTGACTGATGAGGGTAAGAGAATGTTACGGCCTGTTCTTTACACCGCTGTAGAGGCCAGGCGTGCTGTTACCTGAGATCCACGTGTTCCTAGAATAACCCGAACTTGGAATATTCTCTCAGTGGTCTGTAAAGAATCAAATGCCTGGGGCCAGCAGTTGGCACAGTGGTTGAGGCACTGAATTCCCCCATGGCCGACTTCGGTTCAAACCCCAGACCTGACGGTTTGCTCTCTCACTTTCCTTCTCTTTCTCTCTCCCTCTGGTCAAATTTTGAGAAATAAATAAATAATAAATAAAATTAAACAATTTTTTTTTTCAAGAATCAACTGCTTTATAATAAATGGGTAGTCGGACTTGCCCAAATGGGAGTTGTTCCGTGAAGGATGTCGTTGGTTTAAATGTGGGCTTCCGTTTTAATGCAAATGCTTTTTCTCCCACTCGGCTCTTGTACACATTCATGTCCAGCAGTCTTGGCACAGTCGTAAGCCTGCGTAAAGGTGCCAGGTCCCTTCCAGGTTCTACTTCATAAGAACTATGTGTTCACCACGATTAATTTATGGAATATGTATCACCCTTAACCAATGTTGTAAATCTAGAGTCTTACTCCCAACAGGGCTTTGATCTTGTTTTTCTTTTCACACTGGCATATGCTCTCTAGGAATATTTCCTGTATTAACAGTGAATCTTTATGTTTTATGAAAATGAACTTTCTCCTTGAGGGAAGTCCAGGGGGGCTTTTCAGAGGTCACAGGTCCAAGGTTCTGACGTTGTGTTTCGGTATCTTGAGGAGTAGGTACAGATATGAACGAAGGACAGCTGATGGGAGACTTTGAGGTCGATTCTAAGCAGCTGGAAGCAGAGTCCTGGAGCCGGATAGTGGACAGCAAGTTCCTGAAGCAGCAGAAGAAGGATGTTGTTAAGCGGCAGGAAGTGATTTACGGTGAGAGGCTCCGTCCGACTGCCTGTCGGGGATTTTCATTGTCTGGCGTTTTTAGGCTGAGGCTCTACAGGGCTAAGGAAAATCCACTTCTGAGTATGTGGCACCTTAGACTTACCTCCAGGACTGGGAGATACAGAGACCCACGTGGTCTCATTAACATCCTTTTCTCTCTCTTACCGCCTCTATTTCTTTTCATTTTATTGAACATTTTATTCATACGAGTGCTGACATACACAGGAGTCCCAGAAAGAGATGTCTTGTGAAAGAATAGTTGAGTTCTTCAGCTACACTAGAAACCAGACTAAATAGAAGTCATTTGTAGAAACTGGAAACACAGATAGGAGAGGGGCTGCATCCAGGAAGACCTCTTGGAAAACCACTATTTAAGATGGGAGGAATCCGTTATACCTATCCTTTAAAGATAGTGTGAGGGCATGTAAAATTAGAGGAATAAGATGAAGACACTTTTAGGGACAAGAGACCTACTGACCCAGTTTTAAAGATTAACTTGGGGTCTTCACCTATAGGGGAGTGCTGAGGTACTGTACAGAGAAGCCAGACCCCACATGGCCCACCAGGGTGCAGGTCCCAGCCTCAGTGACTCGCAGAGCACACCGGGTACCTGTGCCCATCAGGCCCAGGATCCTAATGGGCTGGAGTGTGGGAGGAGAGAGGATGATGGCATGACCAGGCCCTGCTGAGGAGTCCTCCCTCACTTGTGTGTGTGTTTAGTTTCTTTCTCTTGTTTGTGTGTACTCAGGCATTAAAAAAAAAGCTGGTCTGTAATCTAACCTTAGGACTGCAGTTAGATGGTCTTCGAAGGAGAACTCTTGGAAGAGAACGATTCTGACCCCGACCCCTGTCTTCCTCCTAGAGCTGATGCAGACGGAGTTCCATCACATCCGCACGCTCAAGATCATGAGTGACGTGTACAGCCGGGGCATGATGACGGATCTGCTCTTTGAGCAGCAGATGGTGGAAAAGCTCTTCCCCTGTTTGGATGAGCTGATCAGTATCCATAGCCAGTTCTTCCAGAGAATCCTGGAGCGGAAGAAGGAGTCTCTGGTGGACAAAAGTGAAAAGAACTTCCTCATCAAACGGATAGGGGATGTGCTTGTGAATCAGGTAAGGGGTGAGGAGGGTCTCGGATTCTCCTCCCAAGCCGGGGGTGAGGAGGGGACAACTTTGGGATTTGTGGCTTGGCTCTGTGTAAGCTCGGGAAAATGATCTAGTTTCTCTAAGCCCTGGTTCCTTTCTGTAAAATGAGAGTTTCTCTCCAAATGCTATTTGAGAAGGTTAAAGATGTGTATATTCAAAGTGCCTCACACGTATGCTGTGTAGAGTGAGGGTCACTCCGTCTTCCTCGGAATCTGTGCCGTCAGCAGCACCAGTAGTCAAAAGAAATTAAAAAAAAAAAAAAGAAAAAAAAAAAAAAAACTCTTGGGAGCCTTCAACTTTTTCTTGTGCCTCAATTCCAGAGGATCTTATTCATCTAAAAACTAGCTGAAGCATATAAAACTAATTAAGAGAGCATGTTGGGGCCAGCCGGTGGCGTAGTGGTTGAGACACTGGACTCCCACATGGCCGACCGCAGTTCGAGTCCAGACCTGATGACTTGCTTTCTCACTTTCCCTTTCTCTCTCTTTCTTTCTGTCTGTCTGTCTCTGGTGAGCACACGTGCCCTGTAGCAGATTTTTTTAAAAATAATAATAGCAATAAGTAAACTTAAATAATTCTTAAAGAAAAACTGTAAAATACTTGATAAATGCATGTTACTTTCATCAAGATGTGGTCTAGTTTCAGTCCCATCCGCAAAATACAGTAAAATTATTTTGATACTTTCAAATATGTGTGCCATGGACAGCTTTTTCTTTTTGAAATTTTTTTTTTCCAAAAAATATTACCAGTATAACCTAATAGACCGGGGCATGGCACACACAGCTAACTAGCTCTTTTCCTCAAGCAGGTCTCTGCTTCTGAAGCAGAGGCTTAATTGCTGGAGCATTTGTCCAAGAATTGGCTAATCTGCCCTTTCCTGGTGTTCTTGAGCCCTTATCCGCCCCTTCTTTGATTAATCAGCACGTTTATTCATTCTTCAAGTTTTTATCGAGTATCTAGTAAGTGCCACATGGACCTACAAGGACCAATATGGCTTGACCTCTGCTGCAGGGAGTAGAAATAGACGCATAATGCAGTAAGCGCAGCCTGGTCAATGCTCAACACAGGTTTCGGCCACAGGGACTCGCTGTGGGGCCCGCACATGAGGACCTGCCCTCCCCCAAGTGTCCCCCTCTCCCACACATTTCCCACTTCTCTTTCTGTCCCTCCTTTCTGCCAGCGACAGGGACTGTGACAAATCACCACCTCCCCACCAGGGGAGATGACCACACCACAGTCTCTTCATTCTCCTCCTGAGATTTTGTGCAGGCATACACACATGTACCGGCACGATTTTCAAGCCATCAGGTCTAGGACTTGAATCATAGTCAGCCGCATGGGAGTCCAGTGCCTTAACCACTATGCCGCCTGCTTACTCCGTGATACGGATTTTTAAAGCATAAAGGCACTTCAAGCAAGTAAAAATAGGACTCTACATCATAACTTAGCATTCTTGTGTCTCTTCAGTGGTTTTGTTTTTTTCCTGAGCCCCTCTTGCCCACCTTCATGATGCAGCCTTTTAAGGCACTTGCTTTATTGTATAAACAGATCGTTTACCATCTTTCTGCCTCTGTTTTCCTGCTGGAAAATGGGGACAGGAAGAATTACCGTTCCTAAACCTATGTTCAAGTTGCGTTTGTTTTTGTTTTTGGTAAGGAACAGTTTGTGTTGCTTCGAGAGTTTTAGTATGTGGGAATGAGTGCATCCTTGGCATGCATCAGGTAGGGCGCATTTGGGCAGACTTTCAAATGAACCCCTGAAGATGCATGCATTTGAGGATGACTTAAGGGGCATGCTGGGAACCAGCAGTTAGCGTAATGGCTATGTCACTGGACTCCCACGTAGTCGACCGCGGTTCGCGTCCCGGACCCGGTGGCTTAAAACTCACGCCGGGCGCATGTGCGTGCGTGCCCAAGATCCCGAGAGGAGAATGGAGGAGAAGGGATTGCGGCGTGACCATCCCCCCTGATTTCTTGCTTTCTGTCTCTATGTCTCTCTCTGTCTGTCTGGCGAGCGCACGCGCCCTATAGCGAAAATCTCTCCAAAAAAAAAAAAAAGGGTCATGCCAAATTATTGGGACTGCTGGTCCTGGTGTAATGAACACACCCCTGGTTGATGGTGGCTGTTTCTCATGTTTGTCTAACTTGGTAAGGTTGAATTCTTCAGACTGAATTTATTGGATTTTTTTTTTAAGAGCTTTTACTATAGGATGCTTGTGCTCGCTCGAGAAACAGAGAGACAGAAAGCAGGAAATCACTACTCCACCACCACCCGCAGGAGGAATGGCCGTGTTGCAATTCCTTCTCCTCCATTGTCCTCTTGGGATTTTGGGCATGCACACACATGGGCCCGGTGTGAGTTTTAAGCCACCAGGTCTCGAACTTAAACCTCAGTGTCCAGCAACGTAACCATTACACCATCTGGTGGTCCCCTGAACTTATTGTTAAAAAAAAAAATTGTTTAATTACTGTGTTTATGACAGATCTTGCATTTCTCACATGCACAGAACATGTTGGGTCATTGGAAAAGCCATGACATATTTTTGCATAGAGAAATAGGCCAATGATTTTTCCAGTGACCCAGTATTTCTGTAAGCTTTTGTTGATATTTAATTGTACATAGCAGCTTTGCTGAGTATAATTTATGTGCTATACAGTTCTTTTAAAGTATACGATTAGGTGGTTTTGGTGTAGTCACAGTCGTGCAGTCATTACCACAGTTAATGTTAGTACTTGTTTATCACACCAGAAGGAGTCCATGCCTCCCCATCCTCACACACCAAGCTGGTCCAGGCCTAGCCAGCCACTGTGTGCTTTCTGCACATTTATATAACTGAAGTGAAACAGTGTTTGGTCATTTGTGAATAGTTCTTCTCAGCATAATGCTTTTAAAGCTTCATCAAAACTGCAGCTTATGTTGGTTACCTTATTCCTTTGTATGACTAAATATTCCATTGTATGGATACACCTTATGTTTTTTTGTCAAATGAGAAAACGTGAGCCCACTTGCCAGAGAGAGAGAGAGAAAGTAAAAAACCACCCTCCTAGGGGGTGTGATCATGCCACAATCCTTTCTCCGTTTCTCTATTCCATCAAGATTTAGACCCATGTTATGTGCCTGGTGTACTTTTCAAGCCCAGGCCAGGATTCGAATCATGGTTGGCCCTGCAGAATCCAGCTTCGGATGTGCTCAGCCACTGGGTGATAGGGCCAGCATGTCACTTTTTATTGTCTTAAGTGAAACATGTTACAAAGTGGTACTAGGAGGGTAGCACCCTGAGTTACAGTATATCTGCCCTTCCCTCTTCTCCGCAGTTTTCGGGTGAGAATGCAGAGCGCTTAAAGAAGACATACGGCAAGTTCTGTGGGCAGCACAACCAGTCCGTGAACTACTTCAAAGACCTTCATACGAAGGATAAGCGTTTCCAGGCCTTCGTAAAGGTACTGGTGTGCACCTTGGACATCCATCTTGTTGTCAAGAGTAGCACGTCTGTCACTTCCAGCGGGGGCCTCTTTCTTCATGTAGTTTCTTACCGTTTCTTTACTCCCTTGCAGAAGAAGATGAGCAGTTCAGTCGTGAGGAGGCTCGGAATCCCAGAGTGCATATTGCTCGTAACTCAGCGGATCACGAAGTACCCGGTCTTATTCCAAAGAATCTTGCAGTGTACCAAAGGTGAGGCCCCTTTTTAATGCAGCCTTACAGGCCGGTGAGCTGCTTCCCATGTATGCAGCTGAGGCCTCATGGGAGAGCTCTGGTAGGTGTAAAAGACAGCCCGTGGTGTGTGTGGAATACCACTTTCTGAGTGAAAATGTGGTATGTCACGTAATCCACCAGACTTGGGTCGATGACAGTGAGAAGCCAGGGGGCTACTTGTTTCATCAAGAGTTAGTGACCATGGGGCCAGCCGTTAGTGTAATGGCTATGTCACTGGACTCCCACATAGTTGACCATGGTTCACATCCCGGACCCGGTAGCTTAAAACTCACGTCGGGTGCGTGTGCGTGCGTGCCCAAGATCCCGAGAGGAGAATGGAGGAGAAGGGATTGCAGTGTGGCCATCCCCCCTGGGGGGTGATTTCTTGCTTTCTGTCTCTCTGTCTGTCTCTTGTCTGTCTGACGAGCGCACGCGCCCTATAGCAAAAACCTATTAAAAAAAAAAAGAGTTACAAAGAGTTAGTGACCAGAACCACTTAATTCTCTCTTGTCACTAGACTGGGATTAATTCCCACGAGTTCTTGCCACAGTTGCTAGGATTGCCATTGTTTCTCATTTAAGTACTACTGGCTGGTTTCTGTCTGTTAATCCTGCTCCCTGGCAAATTACATTAAAGATTAGGTAAAACAGAGACATAATAAAAACAGATCGCTCTTCTCTACAATTTTCCTTCCCTAAAAGGGTTTGGTGCTTTTTATTGTAAAACATAGCATGTATTGCATATCAGCTGTCTCATTTTAGACTTCTAACTACTTTCTTTCTTTCTTTTCTTTTTTTTGAAAGAGAGACTTTTGCTATTGGGTATGTGTACTCATTAGAGAGACAGAGAGACAGAAAGTGAGAAATCACCCCCACTCCCCCAGGATGGATGACCACGCTGCAATCCCTTGTCCTCCATTCTCCTTTTGGGATCCTGGGCATGCATGCACACTGGCCCACCATGAGTTTTAAGTCACCAGGTCCGGGGCTCAAACTGGTGTCGACTGCATACCTGGGAGTCCAGGGATAGAACCATTATGCTGTTTGCTGGTCCCAACGTCTAACTTTCTTTAGAATGGAATTTATGACAACAAAAGGCCATTGTTTTAAGTCCAAAGGGACGGCGATGGTGCAGGGCAAGACAGGGATCCCCCCGCACACGCACACCTGCCTGAAAGGGGCCGTTAAATGCAGAATTCTTCTTCCCCTCCAAGACCACGAAGTGGAGCAGGAAGATCTCACTCTGTCCTTGAGCCTGGTAAAGGACGTGATTGGAGCTGTAGACAGCACGGTGGCAAGTTACGAGAAGAAGGTCCGTCTCACCGAGATTTACACGAAGACAGACAGCAAGTCGATCATGAGGATGAAGAGCGGCCAGATGTTTGCCAAGGAGGACCTGAAGCGGAAGAAGCTCGTGCGGGATGGGAGTGTGTTTCTGAAGAGCACAACCGGGAGATTGAAAGGTAGGGCCCGTCTCCCTCTCGTCCGTGTCTGCGTGTGCCTGGCCAGAACGGGCAGAATGCGCGTGCTGTCACTGATTTCTCTCCTAGGGGGTCCGTGTCCACATGTCACACAGGACCAGCAGTCACATAGTGATTCCCAGCGTTACGTTGCGTCAGAAAGGACTGGTTTGCGAAAGCTTGCAGGGCTACACATAGTACAGCCACACGTAGTACAGGGGCACGGTGGTGAGGGCACATGGAAAACAAAGGATCAAATTAACGCAGTGACGCAAGCTGGTAACGAAGGGGCCGTGCCTGTGAATGGCAGGCGATGAATTTCAGGTTGAGTTCTGGGGGAAAACACTTGCGAGGAGGGTGGGTCAGTCATGAAACGGTGACAGATCTGTGACATTAAAAACGCATCACTGACTCACAGAAGAGGTTAGAGGAGTTGACAGCTTTCAAGACTTTAGAGAAAAAGAAGTTTAATTCACAAAAACCAGATCTATTAACTGCACTCGATAACATTTGTATCTTTTTCTGTAAAGCTGAAGCGATCATAAAAGATAATCATTTTCCATTTGGTTTTAGTTTTCACTTTTTGGATGGTCAGCTCCATCATGTTAAGGAAGGTCTTACGTTGTTCTTTGTTCTTTGTATTTATTTGCTGGTTTGTTTGTTTAGAGAGATTTTTGCTATAGGGGGTGTGCACTTGCCAGAGAGAGAGAGAGAGAGAAACAGAGAGACAGAAAGCAAGAAATCACCCGCCTGGGGGGTTGGCCACACCACAAACCCTTCTCCAGTCTCCTCTTGGGATTTCAGGCACAAATGCACACACACCTAGCATGAGTCTAAGACACTGGGTCTGGTGCTTAAAATGCAGTCAACTACGTGGGAGTCCAGCGACACAGCCTTTACAGCATCTGCTGGTCCCTGTTTTTTAATCCATCTGTACATCTGACTTTCTAAAAAATAATTATTTAATTTTATTTATTATTATTATTTTGGAGAAATAGGGCACGTGCACTCGCCAGAAAGACAGAGGCGGAGAGACAGAAAGCGAGAAATCACAAACACACACACA